TTTTTTTTTTTTTTTTTGGCTGCTGTAAGAGGGCAAGTGATTAGGTAGGGAAGTCTATTAGGCTACTATAATAGTCCCAGCAAGAGATGACAGTTAATTGTTTGGGTTAGGCTGGTAGCAGTAGAGATGGTGGGAAGTGGAAGGTTGTGTATATGTTTTGAAGGTATGTATTGTGAAGGATTTGCCGATGAATTCTCTGTAAGGGGTGAATTGTAGAGACTGAGAGGACAATTAAGATATTTTGGTTGGATCAGCTGAGTGAATGGAAGGATCAGTTATGATAGGAAGGTCATAGGAAGAATGAGCTTGGGTGAGAAAAATCCAGGTTACAGTTTTGGATATGCTACATTTTAGATGCTTATTGATACCCAAGAACATTGTACTTGGAAGTGTGACTCGAGTTCAGGGGGAAGGGTGAGGTTGGAGATGTGACTTTGGGAATCATCAAGGTACAGATGGTAGTTAAAGCAGTGCAACGAGGAGCGCCTGGGTGGCTGAGTCAGTTAAGCCTTTGACTTCAGCTCAGGTCATGATCTCACAGTCTGTGAGTTCGAGCCCCGTGTCAGGCTCTGTGCTGACAACTTGGAGCCTGCTTCGGATTCTGTGTCTCCCCCTCTCTCTGCCCCTCCCCTGCTCATGCTCTGTCTGTCTCAAAAGTAAATAAAAACATTAAAAAATAAATAAAGCAGTGAAACAAGATGAGATGAAAAGAGAGTGAATAGAGAGAAAGCCCAAGTATTGATGTCAGGGGCACACCCACATTTAGAGATCAGGAAGAGGAGGAGAGTGCAGCCAAGAGGACCTGAGAAGGGGCAGCAGTGAAGGACAGAGGGAAACAGGTGTAGTGTTTGGAAGGCAAGCGAGGAATATATTTATAAGGAAGAAGAAGTTATCAGCTGTTTTAAATACCTCTGAGTATTTGGGGGAGATGTGGAACTAGACCCAACAATTAGATTTGACAGTGTGGAGACCGTGGGTAACCTTTCCCAAAGCAGCTGTGCTGCATGGGTGGGGGTGAAGGCTTGGTTGGAGACAGATTAAGAGAAAATGGGAGTAGAAGGTTTGAGACAGTGCGTATGGACAACGCTTTCATGGAATTTTGCTGTAAATGAGAGAAGTTCTATGAATGCAGACTCATTAGCAGATTGGGGGTGGGCAGATGAGATAGTTTTCTTTTGGTATTTTCTTAGTGTAGTGAGAGGTGAAGTTGTTCCCCGAATGAAAGGAGGGGCAAGCAGGTGTTGGAGGCTTGGAGAGAAAGAAAGAGGTATGAAATGGTCATCTTGATAGTGGGAGAGTGGGAAATGTAGAATAATTAACAGTCATTACTTCAGTGGAGATCTGTGTTAAGAATTTAAAGCAAGCTGAGTCATCATGGCTGGGTTTTATTTTCATTTATATTAAACTCTTTGAGTATAGGCATCCAGTAGGTAAAAAAAGCTGGTTTTAATTAGGGTACGAGTTTTCCTACATAAGTACCATGGAGGGAGGAAGGAGCAAAAGAGGGGACAGTCCAAACAGGGGAGTGATTACTAGAAAATGGGTAAGAAAGGAAAAAAAGACATGGTGGGGAGTGGATGTGGGAAGGATAGGTGTGTAAGGAAGTTTTCATTCTGAAAGTGTGAAAGAACAGTTATATTGAGGAAGGCATTTTAGAAAGAAAGCCAGCATGCTGGTGTTTGGAGGGTGGAATGCTTACAATTAAAGTTTGGAAGTAGTGACTTTATTGGCAATTATAAGGTCAAATGACTATAGGAATAGGTGGCTGAGGTCAGCTGAGGAAAAGATTGTTGGAAACGGAAGGATCAAAGCACTGAGAAGGCCACCCTTTTAGGCGGAGCATCTGTGAGTGGTAAAATCACTAGGAATGACCACAGGAGTAGTAGTAAAGGGAAAGACAGTGAGCCAGGCAGTAAAACCGTCAGTGAATGAAAGGTTGTGATTTTGAGGTTACAAGGTGCAGCAAGCAGGACTAGCAGATGGTGTAACCCCATGTCACATGCATCAGAGGAGCTGGACTTTTGAAGGACAAGAGAAGACGGTGAGGAAGTGTAAGAAATTCTAAGCAGGGGAAGGGCTTGGAAAGGAGGGCAGGTGTGGTGTGGGTGGGGAACGATGCACCAGACAAAGTGAAGCTGAGGGTTTGGAAGATGATTGCTGATTGGAAAGGCTTGTATTTTATTTTGGTCCTAATAACTAGGGAAGTGAGGAATGGCTGTTGGCTAAGGTTATGTTTACCAAACTATTTTTTGTAAGTAACAGCCCAAGTGATGTTATGCTGATTTCCGATCTTGAAATAATGTAGATGGGTTCAGATTCTCATTTCCACCGTCTTCTGATTAGGTTGATAACCACTGGTTGTAATATGTATGAATACAGATCATTTGAAATTTATTTAAAATTTAAGTAGTAAAAGTTTGAAAGGGACGTAAAGTGACTAAGGTGATGGGGAGATAGGATAAAGAAGTTCTTTTGTTGGAACTCACTTACAGAAAGAAAAGGAAAATGTGAGCCCTGCTTTGTGGTTTGAAAGGTGATGTTGATTGTTTTTTTCCAGAGGAAGAAATGCTATCTAGTGATGTGAAGAAACAACTGATTTCAGTATCTGAGGATATGATGGATCTGGCTAAGCGTCTTCCTGACACTTTGAAAAAATTGGAAGATCCACAGAGGTTAAATATTACCTGTTTTTACCAATTGTGTTTGTTCTTACTGTACATTCCTATTTATAAAGAATTACTTTTCATTAAGGTAGATTCATAGCAATTTGCTTGATTCATAGAAATATACATGGACTGATGTGTAAATTTGAGAAATACCTTTCCAGTTGTTACATTGCAGATCAAAAGCTTAAGGCTTTTCTGTCTGCTCTGTAGGATGTTTTATGAAACAAAGTAAAATAAAATTCAGAAGTTCACAGAAAGGAAAATATTTTAGATTCAATGTTGTCTTTTTCTTTTGTTTATGGGCATCTCTCATTTAATTATATTTACAGTTTGGTCACCTAAAATGTATAAATAAAAACACTTTTTATATTTAGTAGCTTCATTTTTCTGGTTTTTTTAATCTGATTATTAAATAGGAATTCTACCTAATCAGGACACTGTTAGATGTAATTTTATAGCTAAAGCCCTAGATAATTTGAGATATTTGGATTAATAGAGGTTGGATTACTGGTGCCTTGTAGCTGACTCTTTCAGGGACTAGGCCTTGCGGGAGCCTTAATTGCTGAATGACTTCCTCTAAAATCAGGAATACTCTTGAATATGGAATGATTACAATGTAGTAATATAATATTGAGGCAAAAATACTTTGTAGGAATGTCAGCAGTTTGTTGAAATAGAATTCTGATTTTGACAAAATGCAATGTTCATGTATTTTTGGGGGATGAGATTTGTGATATATGTTGACTGTGATATTTCAAAATATGATACAGAGAATCAGATCTTTTTCAAAGTCCTTTTTCCCCCTAGTTTGTTTTAGTGGTTTTTATGTAACAGAGTTTCTGAAAGACTGACTGTGAAATGGGGACAGGTACCAGTAGAGCCATTTCATATTCAATTTTATATTTTTCCCTCCATGAAAGAAAAATAATCACTGTTTACATGGTATTTACTGTATTCCAGATTTTTGTTCCAGCAGTTAGACTGTCTATTAAATGTAGATTATGTCTCATTAATGCTTTGCTTTGTAATAACAAAGCTATGTAAGTGTTGTTAAAACTTGAGAATAGGAAATACTGGATTCATCTTTAGTAAAGAAAGATCTTGTCAAGTTTCAGTGTCAAACAAGGACTAGTTAAATTTCTTATTTCAGATTCTTTGTGAGAAGTCTGCATAATACCTAACTTACCAAATTACACATTAGAACCAAGGGGGAGCAAAAAAGTCCTCTGAATGCCAAAATACATGCCCTAAGCATGAATTCAAACTCACTGAAGTACATAGTGGATGAAACCCATTCAGAACCTATTTGCTTTTTGTTTATAGATACAGTTTGATAAGCTTGGATATCCAGTTAAAGTGAAAACCAGGCATGGATAAGGAAGGGTGTGCACATGACCACACCTGGAAGTTAAAGGTGGCAATCTGTGAAAGAGTGAAAAAAACTATAAAAATTAGAAGTGAGAACTTTAAAGGTAGAGTCAATTGAGGTCTGTTAGAGAAGGGGACAGTTTTATGCTTCAGTGAACCTGGAAGGTATTGGATTGTACAATACTTCTTAGCTGTTGATTTAAATTCATTATACATCTCTTGTATTGCTGTCCTGTCCTTGGCATTCTTTTGGGTGCTGATGCTTTCTGTAGGCTACTAATATGCATAATAACAATTCCAAGAGAGAAGGAAAAGTATATTATGCCTTACTGAAGAAGATAGCCTTTGATATTTGTTAGAGTAAATAGTTACCTCACGTGAGGCATGTCATCCTCTGATGTTAGCACAGAATAAATAAGCTCTTACAGTCTTGTCAATCTGTATGTCACTGTTGCTGTATTTATATGTTACAACATTACCATGCATTTAACAATTTAATGATGTCACATATCTGTTTCTCCTAAACTATTTATGTGTGGTTCTTATATTTGAATACCTAAGTATAATGCTAACTGTTCTCCATAAGATTTGAACAATTTTAGAATGTTAGAATTAGTGAGTTTTTAGGTTTTGAATTTAATTTTGATTTTGTTTGTATTGATGTAGATTTGTCAACTTAAGCTTGAGCCCAACTTTGGTGCTATTTTTAGCATGGGAAAAAATCATGAAACAACTCAGCATTTTTGATAGTTTATTCCCATAAATGATCAAATTTTTATGCGAATCATCAATATAAAACTTTAAAAGTCATGTCAGATTTTATTATTAATTTCAATACAGAAGAATTAGAAGAGCTAAACAAAATTGTTAACTAAATAGTAAAAATGTCTCTTTGCTTATCATATTCTCTTTTCTCCCCCTAACTTCCACTTTTATGAAGTAACTAAAAATTGTTTTAATAAACCCTATTACCAACAGACAAGATAGTGTGTCTCATTTTACACGCTAGGGGATCCTGGGTGACTTGGTTGGTTAAGCGTCCAACTTTGGCTCAGGTCATAATCTCACAGTTCGTGAGTTTGAGCCCTGTGTCGGGCTCTATGCTGACAGCTCAGAGCCTGGAGCCTACTTCGGATTTTGTGTTTCCCTCTCCTTCTCTCTGCCCCTCCTCTGCTCACACTTGCTTTCTCTCTCTCTCTCTCTCTCTCTCTCTCTCAAAAATAAACATTAAAAAAAAATTTACACTCTAGCTGTGGTTTCCCTTTGCAGGTTTGGTTATAAATAGATGTTTAAAGTCACTTAGTTAAAATGCTATTATTAGCAACTATAATTAACGAGTTAAGAAATTCTTATCATGGGGCACCTGGATGGTTCAGTTGGTTAAGTGTCCAACTCTTGGTTTCAGCTCAGGTCATGATCTCCTGGTTCATGACTTCAAGCCCCCATCAGGTCCATGCTGGTGGTGTGGAGTCTGCTTGGGATTCTCTCTCTCTCCTTCTCTCTGTCTCTTCCCTGCTCATGCTCTCTCTCAAAATAAATAAACTTAAAAAAATTCATATCATATTTATTCACATACAGCCTCTCCATATTTTCTTATTTGTCCACTGATGGGAAGTTTTTTTCTTATTCCAAAGAATATATTCTAGTTTTGTGATTATTGACTATGCTAAACAGCATCATTTTTGAATTGTAACATAAACAGTCTTAGGTGTTACAGTTGGGACTAGTAATTGATCAGCAAATTGAAAAAGTTAGTTAAAATGTAGGATCATAAAAATTTTCTTTTAATTTAACATATTATATATTTGTTTCTCAGTCTTTTTATATTTATCATGGCTTTTTCATTAAATATAGGACGCTCTTTGGAGTTTCTTTTTTTAACTCATGCCCATTGTGTATCATTTGCAATTTCTAGTTTTAGTTTCTTTAAAATTAGGAGTGAAAACTTAAGACACCTGAAACAATCTGAATGCAGAGTCCTAGGAGTTTTTAAGATTTTTCCTCCAAACTTTTTTGGTTGTTTTGACTATAGTTAATCAGAACTTTTTTTATAAAAAAGGAAATTTGCTGAGTCTTTCAGCATGTTCAACTTAAATTTTTTTTTGGTGGTCATGTATCATCGATTTGACTTACATTTAAATTAATTGCCACAAAAAGTGTAACTGGCATAAATAATTAGTTTGGGACTAAACGCTACTGACACTAGTAAGCCTACAAGTCAACAAGCATATTAGCATATATGCTTAGTACAGAAGTGTCTTACAGTACTAGAGAGTAACCCACAGCCATAAGCATATAGTGGTTATTAGGGAATGAAGAATAATTTTAATCCAATTTGTCTTTTAAGTGAAGGTCAGGCTAGAAAGCTTGTACTTACTAAAAAGCATTATGACTTGTGTTCATAGTTATTGCAGTTAAAGTTGAATTACCCTTTCTTAATTTTTTTTAGGGTTTCTACACTATTAAATGATATTTCAGAAAATCTGTATTCATGGAGGAAGATGATATTTGGTTCAACTGAGACTGAACTGAGGCCCAGTGCTAATTTTCACTTATCACCATTGGAAAATCCAACTGCTGATGGAGTACAACAGAAACAAATTAGAGAACATGAAAGTTTTACTAAAGTTAAAGATGAGACGTGGGACACAACACTTGATATAATTAAACATGATGAGGAAAATGTACTTGGAAATGAAGTAAAACAAAGAGAAGATGGGCTTGAAGATGTATTAGAAGAAGACAATAAGTTGAGAGAGAACACAGAAAGAATTTGTTTGCACTCATTAGATATTACAGAATATGAACTACAGATTTTGGAGCAGCAGGCTCAGGAAAAAGTTCTTAGTGATGTTACTTGCAAATCTCCTGAGGTACTAAAAAAAAAGAGAAAACAATTTTCATTCACTACTAGGGGTTTGCTGATGTTTTTCTGTAAAAGGGCAGATAGTGAACATTTTAGGCTTTGCAGACCACACGGTTCCTGTTATAACTGTTCAGTTCTGCCAATTTAATGTGAGAGCAACTATAGACAAATGTAAACAAATGAGCTTGTTTGCATTCAAGTAAAACTTTACTAACAAAAACAAAAAGTGGGCTGAATTTGACACGTGAGCTCTAGTTTGCTGCTTTGACTGAGTCTAATAAGCAGCAACTTACGGTCTTACAATGAAAAGATTTTAAAGTGTCAGTACACATTCATTGTACTTTGCTATTTTAACATTTCTCCTGATTTTTATATAATAGATAACTCTGGGTTTTTTTCTTTTTTCTTTTTTTTTTTTTTTGTGGATTTCCTATATACCTACTAGTCTTTACTCTTCCAAATTTGCTTTGGAAGTAGTTTTATTTCCTCATACAGATTTTCTTTACTTGCTGTTGTAAGAGGGTTTCTAACAAACTGATATTTTAGCCTGACACTACCCTTTCCTGGCATCCAGAGAGTCTTGACCTGTTTTTTTCTTAATTGTTGTTAAACTTCTATATTCTCTGTCAATTTCATGTTTAGATTTCTTATTATGTTCTGATTTTATTAGTTTAATTTGTGAGGTAATGTTTTTCTCCTGGCTAAGTTAAGGATATTTTTTTTTTTTTTCAACATTTATTTATTTTTTGGGACAGAGAGAGAGACAGAGCATGAACGGGGGAGGGGCAGAGAGAGAGGGAGACACAGAATCGGAAACAGGCTCCACCCAGGCTCTGAGCCATCAGCCCAGAGTCTGACGCTGCCTGAACTCCCGACCGCGTAGATCGCAGGATCTTTGAAGTCGGACGCTTAACCGACCGCGCCACCCAGGCGCCCAAGGATATTTTTTGAAATAATGAGGTTGTATTAGAAAAATCTTTGTGTTTCTTTTATTGTAAAGAGAAACCATAAAAAGAGACATCATATAGCCTATACATTTGTCTCATTTGTTTTTCCTTAGTTTAGAAAATTACCTATGATGTCCATATTTGGTAGAATTTTATGCATTTTATTTTGCAATAATGAAGTTTTACGTTTTTTAAATTAAATTTGAAAGTCATATAATAAGGTTATTTCCCTTTTCAGTTTTCTAGTGGCAATCAAAATCTTAGTATTTGAGAAATTCTCTGTTTGGTAACTATATTAGTAATCACTTCTACCTACATATTAATGCGTTTTATTTTGGGTGGCTCAGTCGGTTAAACGTCCGACTTCAGCTCAGGTCACGATCTCGCAGTCCGTGAGTTCGAGCCCCACGTCAGGCTCTGGGCTGATGGCTCAGAGCCTGGGAGCCTGCTTCTGATTCTGTGTCTCCCTCTCTCTCTCTGCCCCTCCCCTGTTCATGCTCTGTCTCTCTCTGTCCCAAAAATAAAAAATAAACGTTAAAAAAAAAAAAAATTTAATGATTTTCAAGGGGCATCTGGGTGGCTCAGTTGGTTAAGTGTCCAACTCTTGATTTCAGCACAGGTTGTGATCTCATGGTTGTGAGATCAAACCTGGCGTGAGACTCTGCACTGGGCATGGAGTCTGCTTAAGATTCTCTGTCTTCCTCTCCCTCTGTCCCTGCCCTTTTCATGTGCATGCACGTGCTTGCTGTCTCTCTCAAAAAAAAAAAAAAAATTTAAAAAGTAAAAAAAGATTTTCAAGCTATTTTCACCCCAACCACTTGTAAAACATATTCCCCTTTTAGGAAATATCTTTTGCTAATGGCTATATCAACCTTTAACCTTTTGGAAATTTCATATTAGGTATACATTTTAAGATGATAGGTTTCATAAAATGATATAGAATGATCAAAATTTAATGATCTCACTGCCATCTTTTACCCCAATTATTGCCATTCTTATTGTGTAATAACCATTAGCAATTTTTTTCTTTATTCATTAAAGACCCTATTTAAAAGGGTAAAATAATAGTAAAAGAATTTTTTTCTCTTTCTATAAAACTTACTTTAAAATCCTTTTTGAAGGCTTAATTTTTGCAGGTTAATTATGGCTAGACTTCCTTTTCCTACTTTCAGTTTAAAGATTGGACTTTTTTTGGGTCCTTCTGCATTTTTTTTGTGCAGGTTCCCATGCTGTTGGACGCTTGCTTCCTGGGAATTGCCAAATTGCAAAGTTTCCTCATATCCAAACCTTTGCAATATCTGAATAAATAACATATCTGATACAGTTTTTAAAATATGTGTAGGTACTGTTTGTAAAAGTGATTAATCTAAAGGTATTATTACAGTCATAGCAGCTTTTTTGTGAGCTCCTAAAATCAGTAGATATAAAAGAACACCTGTTGTTCCTGGAATGGAATGGGAATGGGAATGGAATGGAATGGAATTTTTCAACATTGTAAGGAGGTTCTTGTACTCAAGTCGGGAAACACAGTTTGATATTGTTTAACCATTGTTGAACTTGTCACTTTGTACTCACTTTTAGCTTGTGGGGGGTTTTATTTCAAGTCAGTCTGTCTTATCTATCTTTCCAGTTACATTTCCTTCATTCTCCTTTTCTTTGGTTCTTTGTTTCTTTGCATCTATTTATTCCTCCCTCTTTCTCTTCTTCCTTACCACCCTCTCTCCCTTTCTATCTGTGTGTCATATAAACATATAAATATGTATTATAAACTTATCTACTGGAGAAGAAGAGAAAGTTGTCTAAAGATATCTCATGCATAGTAACTTTATTTTGTAGAAAACAGGGTATTGAGTCAATTACATTGGAAAATTAATGTTTGAAATACTATTTTTTTAAAGGATTTATTTTCCAAGGATAATGAAGAGGATGTATCTTATGTAATTGAAAGTGATGAAGATTTAGAACTAGAGATGATTAAGGTATGTTTGAAATTATGGAAATTTGCTTCCAGTTCCTTAAAAAGGGAATTTAATTAAGTAAAATATTACCTAATTCTAAATGTCCTCCCACAGTGTGATTACTGTCAATTACATAATCATTAGATTTTGTTTTTGTTTTTGTTTTTTTTTAATTTTTTTTTAACATTTATTTATTTATTATTGAGAGACAGAGAGACAGCGTGAGCGGGGAAGGGGCAGAGAGAGAGGGAGACACAGAATCGGAGGCAGGTTCCAGGATCTGAGCTGTCAGCACAGAGCCTGATGCGGGGCTCGAACTCACGGATCACAAGATCATGACCTGAACTGAAGTCAGAAACTTAACCGACTGAGCCACCCAGGCGCCCCTAGATTTTGTTTTCCATTTCATATTTCTTTACATCTTTATAATGTTTTAGTAGTACGCTAATTTTTACATATTAGAAAACATATTTCTCCCAGGTCACTTCTTTTAAATCTTTTCCTGGAAAATGGGTAGCAATTTTGCCCTCTGCTATTGAAATAGGTTTCTTTTTCTTCCCATCTATGTGTATCCCCTTTGATTCGGAAGCTCTGTTGTTATACATTCAGTATTGTTCTTCACTTGCTTTGAAAAAGTCTTATTTACTATGGATATAGTTATTATACATAATTTTGTAATGTTTTAAGTTGTTTCATCTACCCCTATCTTATTATCACAGTTGAAAATACTATTTTATAAGTCTATTTTCCATCATTTCACCCAACCTCCAGTTTCTTTGTCAGGTATGAACTAGGGATGGACAATAAGAAAGCAAAGCTTAAATTTATCCAAATTAATTGAAAATGAAGAAACACACAGAAGTTCATCATAATGTGTACCTTTTATTCCTCATTTTTAGGTTGATGTGATTTTTTTTCTTTCTAATGAAATGAGTTTAGGGTCCTGATTCTTCAGTTTTGAGCCAGAGTAGTGGGTAGTGACTGGGAATGTGGATTCTGAATTAATTAATTAATTAATTATTTTTGGATTCTGAATTTAGATGTGGGTTCGAATCCCAGCTTCTCCCATTTATTTGCTGTGTGACTTTGGGCAAGTTTCTTAGTCTTTTTGGTACTCAGTTAACAGCTGTAACTATTATTTAAGGTGTCATTTGTGAAGAGCTTAGTACAGAGCCTGACATTTCTTAAGTGTTTAATAAATATTAGCTAATAGCAATAATAGAATGTAAATACTAAATCGTACTCCTTTATTGATTAACCATTTCTCTGCGGAATGCTGTTCAAGTAGTGCATTTGGAGGACACTTGCAGACTTCCACAATCTTACATTGTATATTGAACCTCTTAGAAGGCAATCTGGATGCACATATGAGAGAACTTTATTTTCAGAATGCTTTTCTAAACATATTTGTTGACTTGAATGAAGAATTGGGAACAGAATCACTCTTTCGTTTCCAGGCCTGAAATGAATACACTTTTAAAAAAAGCTATTAAACGGGGTGCCTGGGTGGCTCAGTCGGTTAAGCGGCCGACTTCGGCTCAGGTCATGATCTCGCGTTCTGTGAGTTCGAGCCCCACGTCAGGCTCTGTGCTGACAGCTCAGAGCCTGGAGCATGTTTTGGATTCTTTGTCTCCCTCTCTCTGACCCTCCCCTGTTCATGCTCTGTCTCTCTCTGTCTCAAAAATAAATAAACGTTAAAAAAAAAAATTAAAAAAAAAAGCTATTAAAGTCAAATATATTAAGTGGACGGTTTAATAAAAAGAGAAAATGAGAACTGTGGTTTAACAATTCTTCCTGTCACTTCTCAGTAAAAAACAAACAAACAAACAAATAAAAACACAACAAAAAAAACCCATATAGATGAAACAATTTTGAAATATCCTAACATTCTTTAAATAGATAATCTTCATTTAGGGGAGAAAATCCAATATTGTCAAGCCAAAATAAAGAGTAGCTTTATTTCACATTTGTAATATTCCTTTCCTAAAATTATTACAATATTTTATTGTTGTTTTCACAATTCACATAAACACGTTCACATAATTCACAAAAAATACATTTATTATTTATTGTTTAAATGTTATGCTGACACATGATATGGAGAAACTCATAAAATAATAGTCAAACCTGCATTTACCTCTTGGCAATTGAAAACATTGAAGTATGATAAAGGAAAAAAAAGTTTAAAGTTTTTTTTAAACTTCGTTTATTTATTTAGAGAGAGAGGGAGAGAGAATCCCCAGTATGAAGCCTGGGATCCCACAAACCGTGAGATCATGACCAGGGCCGAAATCAAGAGTTGTTTGCTTAACCAACTGAGCCACCCAGGCGCCCCAAGAAGAAAAGTTAAAAAAAAAAAATTTTTTTTTTAATGTTTATTTATTTTTGAGATAGAGACAGAGCAAGAATGGGGGAGGGTCAGAGAGAGGGAGACACAGGATCTGAAGTGGGCTCCAGGCTCTGAGCTGTCAGCACAGAGCCCGGCGTGGGGCTCAAACTCCCGGACCATGAGATCATGACCTGAGCCAAAGTTGGACGCTTAATGGACTGAGCCACCAGGCGCCCCCAAGAAGAAAAGTTTTAAATTCAAATTTTATTCAAATTTTGGTAACTTTCCCCATAGGCAGTTCATTATATGCTATTAATGAACCCTGTTTATGCTGGAAGTATTCCATCTTTGGCCTTGTGCCTTACAAACCACTCTTGAGTACATATTTAAACCAGAGCACACATGTTCTTTTGTGAGAGTGGTTGCACATCTGTTAGCTTTGAACAAAATTGTAGGTTCTGTTAATAATACTCCTTTTGTGTTTGGTGAAAAAGATACGACACTGTCAATGGTTTTGCTTCTAAGGTTTCTTTTAAACTTCCAGTCTTTAGAAAATCTAAATAGTGGCACGGCAGATTCAATTCATTCAAAAGGCATAAAAATGGACAGAAATCTGGATGTTCCTTTTGAAGATGATGAAGATGAGTTTGAAACTATTAAAGAAGAAGGACATGATGAAGGTATGCGCTGCAATATGTTTGCAGTGACTCATCTCTGGTACCTACCGCTGACTCTAATTTAGGGTCCAGTTTTTAAACACTTTGGAGGCAAGGATTTTGTGGCATATAATTAATAAGGTCCTAAAAACTTGTTATTAAGTCCCTTAGTGCTTTGGTCTTTATAAAGCATAATTCTTACTTTTAACAAAAGTGTCATAATAGAAATGTTGTGTTATTTGGCGCATATGGTGATGTGATGTGATGTGTATGTTATTTGGTGCATATGGTAATATATATATATATTATATATTACTCAAGAAATATATTTTATATTCAAAAAATTAATAGGAAATCATTAATAAGAATCCTTAATTACTTATATTAAACATCGTTAAAGACATAGATATAGTTTCTGTTCTTCAGGAATTTATTACTTAAAGCAAGTGGCACAATGTCAGACTGCAAAACAGACTAATTTTCATACTGTGTATGCCACCTATCATAAGGAATCCATGAAATGACCTCCTGTTATTCAAGCGTTAAGTAGCAGAATTCATTATGGCAAACCATGGGGTCTTCTCGTGAAGTAGAACACTCTCTAGAGTTAGATTCATCAATGTTATAATGTAGGAAAATTAACATAAATATTGTAGGTGGAAAGTATATGAAGATGGTAAAGAAAGTGTTATTCTGTTTGTTTTCTTGTATTAAATCAAGGCATAGTATCTTCAAATCAATTTAGTTCTCTGTTTGGAATTGTTAAAGCTGAGAAGTATAATAAGTTTTCATTTGTTTATAGGTAAATGGTCTTGATACTTTGCTCTTCTTGGCCACTCATGAACTGTTCAACCTGAGTAGAAAATAAAAATCAGTTGAGTAAAAGTTAATGTAACTCCATTGTGCTAGGCAGTTAAAATTTTGGCGAAAGATTTGGTGGAGTGGTAACTAAAATAAGATTTAATTTTATCTCTGGATTTTATTTGTGACCATTTAATTTCTGATTACTATTAATTGAAAGTTGGTTGTATTATGACATTTGCATTGGTATATTGCTTGCCGTGGCTGGGTCTACATGTTACGTTTTAGAACTGTAGCAAATTCCAAAACATTGTTTTCTTATAGTGTTGGCAAAATATGAACCACTTTGTAGTAGAACAACACAGTTCTAATCCTTAGTATTAGGTAATAATCAAAGTGTGTAACTGGAGTCATGACTAGTATCCAGAGGGCCAAATTAGTTGGATTTAAAAGACAGGAAACCGTAATCTTTGTTATTTATCACTGTATTCTTTAAAAAAAAAAACATTTTTTGAGAGAGAGAGAGAGAGAGTGCACAGGGGAGGGGTAGAGAGTGAGGGAGAAACACAGAATCGAAAGCAGGCTCCAGGCTGTGTCAGCACAGAGCCTGATGCATGGCTCAAACTCAACTGTGAGATCATGACCTGAGCCAAAGTCAGACGCCTAACTGACTGAGCCACCCATGCGCCCCTCACCAAATTCTTTAAAAGAAGCCAATGAAATAAAAATTTTTATTCCCTATCACTTATATTTTAACATAAATGCCATTTTACTTTTATTTTAAGACCATTCATTACCAGGACCTAATGAAATGCAAATTAATTTCCTCAAGAAGTACTTTGGCCATTCAAGTTTTAAACCGTGAGTATAATCTCTCCTAATTAAATTGCATATTCATAATTTTTTACACAAAGGAAAAATGGCCAGTAGTCCATCCGTATAATAGTAATAGCACAACTTCACTGTAGTTTATATATTCCACACTGTATTTCCTGTGACTACAAAGTTATTTTAAAATAATATTTATATAAAATTCATATCTGCAAATTGTTTTTGTAAGAGAGGAAAATGGTTTTCTTTACCATAGAGAGTTCTGTGTAGAAACTAGTTTAAATACATCAATAAATTAATCTAACTTAACACTGACTTGTTTTTCATTAAATAAATATCTGTGTGTCTGTTTTGTACATCTTACTGTCCAAAGCATGCTGATATAATGGAAATTCATAAGACAACATTTGGAAGAACAGTGATAATCTTACCAGTTTTAATGTATTCAAATGTATTTATGTCTAAGGGGCACATTTATAAGTATTAAAAGGAGATGAATAAAAATGAGATGAAGAACAAGTAAATTAATAAGAATGTAAAAATCTAGACTGGATTTTTCCTATTCTGGGAATTTAAAATTTAACCCATGGAGACATTTCTTTCCCTTTGTCTTTGATCTTAAATGTTTTTTTTATTAAACTATGTCCTACATACAGAAGAGTGCACATGAATGTACAGATGAATGAATTTTCACAAACTAGGCACCCTGTGTAACCAGCACTCACATAAGAAAAAATAGGTCATTATCAGCACATCAGAAGATCACCTTGCCTATTGATTTTTCCCTCAGTATTTTATTTAAAAATTTTCAAAGATACTGTAAAGTTGAAAGAATTTTTTTTACTATGAATACCTGTATATTCAACATTTTACTATCCTTGCTTTGTCATGTATTCATCTGTCACCTCTCTATCCATTCCTTAATCTATCCAATTTTAAAAATGCATTTCAAGGTAAATTGTGGACACCATTACACATCTCCTTAAGTACTTCAGCGTATAAATCATTAACTATAGCTATATGTTTGTGATTTATTTCTTTGATGTAAAATTTACATACGAGGAGATGGTCAAACCAGCCTAAGCCTTTGGTCAAATATGGAACATTAAAGTCATTCCAGAAAGTTCCCTCATTTCCCTTCTCAGGCAGTCCTTGCCCCTGGAGCATTTCTTTTATTTATTTTAAATCAATGATGATTCTATTGGATTTCTGGTACGAAACTTAGAATTTATTTTATACTTTTGATATATGTAATCAAATTTAATGCATATACCAATTGAAACTCGTAATTGTGAAATCAGCTTGAATGGGAGCTTGATCACATGGGACTCTTTGTTTTAAAGTTCCAGGGTTTATACATTTTTTGTATTGAAGCTCAAAAATGTAGAACAAATTCTGTTGGAGGTAGTGAAAAAATTAAACAGGTTTCAACTTGTCCTTGGGTTTTTTGTTAGTAAAACAAAATAGCCTTTTGCTTTTTACCCTGCAGGGTTCAGTGGAAGGTGATTCATTCTGTACTGGAAGAAAGAAGAGATAATGTTGTTGTGATGGCAACTGGTAAGCTGTACTCAAGCAATAATGTAGTCCTCTAAAATATAAAACTTAAAGGTTTTCAAGGGTGTAATCTTTCACTGTACTCTCAAAATATAAATACAAATGCAAATGATTTAAAATTCAGAAGAGAGGGATCTGAGATTAGATGCTCAAATTTATGCACGAATTAGCTGTTAGGAGGATAAGAGGATAAAATGTTAGTGGTTCATCTCAGCCAACTATGTTGTAAGAAGAAATCAAAGTACCAAGTCTTTATTTTTATTTCTATCAGTGTATTATTTTTATTTCCAGGATATGGAAAGAGTTTGTGCTTCCAGTTCCCACCTGTGTATGTAGGCAAGATTGGCCTTGTCATCTCTCCTCTTATTTCTTTGATGGAAGACCAAGTGCTCCAGCTTCAGTCAGTAATGTTTTCTTTTTCTTCCATGAAGGAAACATGTAATCTATCCTGTATGTTAAAATCTAGTTCCCCGTAACACATTTCTGTGAGTGTTGCTCTGTCTTTATTAGTGATACATGACCCTTTGGTGGAAGGACTTACCTTCTTTCTTGAGTTCTCTATAATCCAAGACTACCAGATGGCCCCAGTAAAAGTTTGTGTAACGGCAAACTCTAAGCCAGTTTACATCCATATCTCAAAAGTCTTTTCTCTTTTGGTTACCCTTACTCTTTAGCTTGATATGAAGTGTATACATGGCAGTATAATTTTAAGTTACAAAAACATTTTAAACCTCTTTAACTTGAGCTTACAATCTTTTTGAAAAACCTGCCTTAACAACTTGCTTTCTCATATGGCCTTCAAAGGAATTTGTTTATTAAATCAGTGAGTTATAAAAAGAATGAAGATTGCAAAGAAGAGGATTGTTCATCATTGTTTCTTTATTCCTTAAGAATTAAGTTGATATTTGTAGTGTGTACATGGCTCCAGAATATTTGTTTTTCTTCTTATAGAATGTCCAACATTCCAGCTTGTTTTCTGGGATCAGCACAGTCAAAAAATGTTCTAGAGGATATTAAATTGTGAGTAACTTATATGATTTCTGATTACGTGGTTGTGTCTATGATATGTGAGAGAATTTTGTACACAAAAATTTTTATTTAATTCATGGACAAAATGTTCCTGATTAAAAAATGTACTTTGTTTTTTATAGCACATTTACAGAACTGATAATTAAAAAAATTTTTAAGACTTAAAAGAAATCTATTATTTTTAGTTCTTGGACTGTGAATTTAGCATTGTCGTCTTAGAATTGTAAAATTTTGGTTTTGAAAGTAGAAGTAGGAGAGTATGTATCTAGTTTTGTCTCATTTTTACAGACGAAGTTGAGGCCCAGAGCGAGTAATTTGCCTGTAGTAACTCAACGAATTCATGGCTGAGCATGGACTGGATTCTAAATCTCTTGCCCCACCAGTCCTATCATAGCATAATTTCTAACAAGGATAAAATCTCACATACACACAAAAATATGTGTGTGTATGTATATTAATAATGTATATATCTTATTAATATACACACGTATACACATGTATTTACTGAGTTTTGATAAATGCATACAAATGTATAACCCAAACCCCTATCAAGATATAGAATGTTACTGTCACTCCAGAAAGTTCCTTCACGTCTCTTCCTATTCCATCGATCGTTCTATCTCCGTTCTAAAACGAACCACTAATTTTTTTCTACCATGCTTTTGTCTGTTCTAGAACTTCATATAAATGGATTCATACAATAAAAACTTTTGTGTAAGACTTCTTTCATTCAGCAAAATGTTTTGAGAATCCTTCCTGTTGTTGCACGTATCCATAATTTTTTTGATGTATCAGAATGAAACGTCATCGTATGAAAAGACCACAGTTTGTTTTTTCATTTCCTCAGCAGTAGATGCCTAAGCTGTTTGTAGTTCAGGGCTACTACTAATAAAGCTTCTGTGAACATTCCTGTAAAATCTTTTTTAGAACATATGTTTTCTTTCTTTTAAACATTTTAAATTACCTTTATTGAGGTATAATTGCAATACAATAATTTTTACATACTTAAAATGTGTAATTTGGTGAGTTTGACGTATAAATACCGACAAAACCATCACTGCAATCCAGATGCTGACCCTTTATCCATCATCCTCAGTGTTTACTTACACCCTTTGTAATGCATTCCTTTCACTTATTCCTACCTTGTCTACCCCACTCACCAGGTAACTACTGATCTACTTTCTGCCAATCTAGATTAGTTTATGTCTTCTAAAATTGCACATGAACAGAACCAGTCATACAGTATGTGCTCTTGTTTTGTCTGGTTTAAATCACACAGCATAATTACTTTGAGATTCATCCATGCTGTTACATGTATCAATAGTTCGTTCCTGTTTTATTGCTAACTAGATTACGTCATAAGGGTATTGTCATAATTTGTTTCATCTGTTCAACTGTTGATAGACATGGCATTGTTTCCAGTTTGGGGCTGTTACAAATAAAGCTGCTCTGAACATTTGTATGCAAGTCTTTGTATGGACATATGTTTTCATTTATGTGTTTATTGGTATGTGTTCATATGTGTTGATTGGTATAAACCAAGGAGTGGAATCACTGGATCGTGTCGTGAGTATATATTTAACTTTTTTTTCTGATTGAGATAAATTTACATAATAGTCATCATTTTAACCATTTTATACAGTTCAGTGGCTTTTAGTACATCACAATGTTTTACAACCATCTAACCGTCTAATTCCAGAACATTTTCATCACTCCAAAAAAACCTCAGTATCCATTACTCAGTCACTCCCCAGTGTCCCCATCTCCCTCCCCCTTCAACCCCAACACCCTTTCAAACCACTAATCTACTTTCTGTTTCTATGATTTGCCTACTCTGGACATTTCATATAAATGGACTCCTACAGTATGTGGCCTTTTGTGTCTGGCTTCTTTCACTTAGCATTAGTTGTCAGTATTTTATTTCTTTTTATGGATGAATAATATTCCATTGTACAGACATAACATGCTTTGTTTAACCATTCATTAATGGTGGACATTTAGGTTGTTTCCACTTCTGGCTGTTATGAATAATTGTACTACAAACATTAGTGTGTAAGTTTTTATATGAAGATTGTTTTCATGCTTTTGTGTATATGCCTATTAGTGGAATTGCTGGGTCATAGGTAATTCTATGTTGACTTTTTAAGAAACTGCCAGACTTTGTTGAGAGTGATTTGTACCATTTTATATTCCCACTAGCAAGGTCTGAGAGTTCTAATCCCTCCTCCTCTCTGCCATTGCTTGGTATGGCCAGTCTTGATTTTAACCATTCTAATAAGATCTCAATGTGTTTTTAATTTGCATTTCTTTAATGACTACTGAATTTGAACATCTTTTCATGTCCTTTTTGGCCATCTGTAGATCTTCTTTTAGAAAGCATCTATTCACATCTTTTGCCCATTCTTTATCGTTGTCTTTTCCCTTACTGAGTTTTGGTAATCATTTATTTATTCTGAATACAAATTCTTTATTTGGTATATGCTTTGCCAACATTTCTAGTTTGTGACTTCTCTTGTCATTCTCTGAACTGTTCTTTTGAAGAGCAGCAGTTTTTCATTTTGAAGTCCAGCCTGTCAATTTGTTCTTTTATGGATTTTGCTTTTGGTGTGGAATCTAAGAAGCCTTTGCCTAACTCAGGATCACAGAGACTTTCTTTTATATTTTCTCCTAAAAGTGTTACAGTTTTAAGTTTTACATTTAGGTCTATAACCCATTTAATGTAAATTTTGTGTATTGTACCAGTTACTGATTACAACTTATTTTCTCTTAAGGATATCCAGTTGGTTCCAGTTCTCTTTGTGGAAGATACTATCCTTTCTCTATTGAATTGCCTTTGTACCTTTGTCAAAAACAAAATGACTACATACATGTGGGTCTTTTGCTACAGTCTTTGTTCCATCAATCTGTTTGCCTATCTGGATTGGTGTCTTCATTACTGTAGCTTTGTAATAAGCCTTGAAATCAGGTAGTATAAGTCTTCTGATTTTGTTCTTTTATTTCAAAGTTTTTTGTCTTTTCTAGGTCCTTTGTATTTCCTTAAGTATTTCAGTATATGTGCTGCCAAAGTGAACATTCCATAAGTATTTCAAAATTACTTTTTCAACTCAAATGCCAGTGGAATTTGATTGGATTTACCTTCAATGTAGATTTGTGTTGAATTAGTTGTCTTTATAATTATTATTACTACATTACATTTAAGAAACTGAGGCACACTGAAGTTAAAATCACTTAGCTTGTAAGAAGTAGAATTGAGATTCAAACCTTGGGCAGGCTGACATCAGAACTTGTTATTTATACTGTTTTCCTATGTTAATTAGAATATTGAATTAATTTCATGAGATTAAAAGCATATCTATTTTGTTCCTAATTGTTTTGTTCCTAATTCCTAATAAAAGCACTATGCCTAGCACACAGTAGATGAAATATTTTAAAGTCTTTTTATATAGGAAATTAAGTTTTCGTTCTATTTAACTTTATGTCTTCACTTAGTAGAATGAAAAGGAGACTCTACATATTTTAAATGCCCTAGACCTAAACTTTATTACAAACATTGTTTAGTTAGGATTCTGTCTGCCCAGAATAGAAAAAAGTCAAGCTAGCTTAAGCAAATAATGAATTTTATATTAAGGATATAGGAATGTCTCATGGGTCACACTGAACACGAATTAGCCAGCCGTTAGGAAGAGACTTTGAATTGGGTATCAAAAATACAATAAGGCTTTTTTTTTATCCATGGCCTCTCTGTGTCTCCTCAATTCTTCTCTCAGAGGAGATAAGCATTTTCTGCTTTTCTAGTCATAAGGTAGAGAAGACTGCCCTGCAGCTCCTTTTTTTCACAAATTATAGGTCTTGTCATTTGCAGAGACTGACTGGTTGTTCCTGGTTGGAACTCCAAATTCTAGGACAGAGACCAGTTGATGTGACATTGATTCAGTGCTGAACTCTGGCCCAAGAAGATATGTTTAGGCAAGAGAGCAAAATACGTAGGAGAAACATGGGACTATGGATTTAATCATGGGGAGGGAGTCGGTGGTAGGATAATGGGTTGTACTTCTCCAAGAAGGAGGATGGTGTGTGGCTGGATTGCCAACACATAGAAGGTTTACCACAGGCTTAACTGTTTAACTCAAACACTATAGTTTTGGGGCTAAACTGCTGGAAATCAGGACCTGGCTTCTAATGTCACCTTAATGCTGAGGACTTCCTGAGTACTCTTTGCCACTGTTTATTTTGATGTGTTGAAGTAGAATCAGAGAACTAATACATGTGGATATATACACACACTTGTAATGTTCATTTAGTTTTGAGTGGTATAATGTATTATTTAAAAATTTATCAGGTATTATGGTTTTAAATTGTAATTCATTGGATGGTTGTTTTCTTTATTGTAGTATATTTCCTTTTCTATTTCTTTTTTTGTTTGTTTATTTTTCAGAGGCAAATATCGAATTGTGTATGTAACTCCAGAATTCTGTTCGGGTAACTTGAGCCTACTCCAGCAACTTGAGGCTAATATTGGTAAGTGGTATGATAGGATCTTTTTATAAGTGCTTATTTAATTGAGTTATCCTTTAAAGTTAAATATATGAATGGATATTGGATTTCACTTCTGTTAAAGTTTATTTCAAACATTATTTCCTCCAGGAAATCTCTGACTTTGCAACTTGGTGTCTTCCTTGTCTTATTCTAAGTACCTAAAATTCCTTCTGCCATAGACATTAGGCTCCTGTATTATAATTGCCTGTTTATAGATCTCTTTTCTTCTGCTAGACTATAAACATTTTGGGGGCAAAAATGCCCTAGCGCAGTGCCTGGCACACAGTAGGAATTTAAATGTATTGTTAGATAAATGTTGATTTTTAGATTCTGTGAAATTATAATTTCCTTTTTTTCATATTCTGAATCTGAATTAAATCAACATAGTTGTTCTCCACTCTTGTTCATGAGAATCACTTTTCAAACTTGAGAACAATGTAGTATCCTCCAAACCTGAAAATTCTGATTCAACATGCCTGTGGTGGGACCCTGGCCCCTGTGGTTTTTCATGAGTGATTCTGATTTGTAGTCAAGGTTGAAAACCACAGTAACTTTGATTATTTGCCACCAGCGAGTGTGATTTTAAAAAGTTAGATAGTAAGTCAGAGCTTATTTCCTAGAAAATGTAAATACAGAATTAGTCAACAGCTGGTGCCCTATTTTTTTTTTTTTTTT